CGGATTTTTAAAATTTAGACTGCTATTAGTTAAATGCGAATTGTAATGCGTATCAAGTTTTTGTTATGTTCTTTGATTTTATGTTAGGCACGAATTAATTATTGTAACATTGAAAATGACTCGTTCGGGGTCGAAACGTTTGTTATTCTAATAATGAATTTGTTAAATTAATAAATACTTATTGGAGCGATACAACACCCAAGCTTTGGCTCGTTGGCCCTTTTTTACGTCTTTTATTAATATTGAAATAATTGGAGCCTTGACTTTAAATTTTATTTTAATTTTAATAAATTTTATTATAATTTACAATTACATCAACCTCAATACACACAACTGTCAAAATGCAATGACACAGCCGCTTACACGAAGTAAGCGCAGTGAGACAACCAATCAGCATCGCAGAAAAGCGACAACAAATAATTTCGAGAAATGCGAGTTATCGACTTTACATGCACTTTTTTAGATAGGAACATCAACCTCAATACACACAACTGTCAAAATGCAATGACACAGCCGCTTACACGAAGTAAGCGCAGCGAGACAACCAATCAGCATCGCAGAAAAGCGACAACAAATAATTTCGAGAAATGCGAGTTATCGACTTTACATGCACTTTTTTTAGATAGGATTTGTCTTAACTATCCACTATATGAGAAACAATTAAATTATAAGTAAATGCCTCGATGAAAAAATAAAGAAATACAATTTAACGTGAGAGCATTTGACGGTACGTTTGCTCATACGGCGCAAGTCGAGATCTTTATCAAAAACATTAAGAATCGTCAAAAAACAATTTTTGTCGAGATAATCTCGCGCGAAAATAGAAACCCGAATTTATATAATATATGTCCTATCGCCCTTTATAATGTTATGTTCGTTTTAATTTTAATTTTTACCTTAATTTATCTATTTATTTATTTATTCATTATTTAATATCAACTATTTACAATGATAGATAGCATGTTGCTTAACGTATGGTCGTTTAGTATCTCATCCCTCTGATCATCAAATTATATGTGTTTTCCTAGAGACTCCCTATGATTTATCTGTGACTTACGCGGCGCAATTATGGGGCACATACGATTTTTAATCTTTAAACCACTATATCGGTCTCACAGATCGCTATTAAAGCTTTACTTGTCAACAGTTTTCTTAACATTCATAAGAAACACTCTAAACTCATAGTACCTTCATATGTCATCTGTCCCTACAAAACGCTGTGATAGTCTTATTGTCATTCACTGGAAACGTGTAAAATATAAAATGTTTGAAAAATTGTAGCGGTCTTACAGACCGGTGTTATGGTTTGCGTCACTTTTTCGCAGTATTGAGAATGTATGTATTTCTTAATCTACGTCTTATTTACACATATTAACTCTTATTTACTGATGCTGTTATATTTTGAGGCTAGGAAAGACTAAAAATGGCTTTTTATGCCATTATAAATTAAAACGTAAAACTGCATATAAATGCGCATAAATGCGAGACATCGATTTGTTTATAGTGTTTGCAAAAGATGTGCACTATTTAACTAGTATGTCAACAATGTTTTCAGACAGTTCCTTTAAATTGGCAAATTTAATTTACATTGGCTTGCCGATCTGTATCTCTCTCGAAATATCTCAAATTATTTATCCTACACACACACACACACACACACACACACACACACACACGCGCGCGCGCGCGCGCGCAGTTATGATTATTTTTATATAATAATTTAAAAATTTATATTTATTATATTTTAAAAATAATTATATTTAAAAATTATATATAATTATAAACATGAATAACAGAACTTAAACAAATCAGGTAAAAATTATCTTGCAAGACTACAGTACTATGTGTAATACTACGATTTCATGTATATTTTATTCTGATACTGAAATACTATTATAATAGAATTTTTGATTATATTATTTTATAAACTATATTATAAATCCTCTTTTTTTGTGCTCACTAGTTCAACAAAAACAAGAGTGACACCAGAGAAGACATAAACAATGATTCTGAATTGGAGCACCTTCCTAAAAATGAGCCGGCCAAAACAACAGTAAGCATGAGATGTATTTATTTGATAATGTAATAATAAAATACAGATAATGTAGATCATTTTGGAGATCTCTAAATAATTTAGCATCTAAAATCGATCTTATTAGACGCATTTTTTTTCTTATTCTATACACGCATTTTTATTCTTTATCTATTACAGCCCAATCGTTCCTATTACTCTAATTTCACTTACCTTGTTAATATATTACATTAAAATTACATTTAAGGTACGGTTATAAATAGCAATAGTTTACAAGATATTTCATATTTAATATCAAAATATACTAGAATAAAATATAAAATATCTCGTAAACTATCAATTTTTTAATATCTCTGTTTAATATTTTTATATGCAAAATAATTAGAGAAATTTCATATTATGTAAAAAAAAATTATATGCTATTTAAAAAAATAATGGTGATCTCTACGTAATCTTGAAAAATCGAATTTTTTGAAAATTAATTTTACCATTATTTATTTTCCCTTCAAACCGTACAACTTTTGTTTGTAACATTTTTTGCTACAACGCATTCTTTTAGGGATATTATCTTATAACGTACTTCAAATACTCCATTCTGTGTATATCACAATTATAAAGAGTTTAATAAAAACTTATGAGTAATATGTTTTAGCTCGGTCAAGAAAATATTGAAACGTTCGATAATGAAAAAGAAGAGCGCATGCACCTCCTCGAGGCAAATGTAGATGAAAGACGTAAATTGGAAGAAGCTGCTACTGTCTTGACATTACCAGTGTCTTGTAGTATTTATTCTGCTAGACCTGTTGCGTAGAGCTCTACCGCGTAATATAAAATATAAAATATAAATGCGAGAAAGGTCGTGCACGACAAATTCGAAAGCGAGGACGGGATCGGCAATCGCGACACGTGGCACACACATGTGCATGCGTCTTTCGAGGCTGACTTAGCGACGAGATAAGGGACAAAGGTCTTCGGCTTTGTAAATGCGCAATCCATGCAGGCACGGACAGGATCGTCGCCGCCCCTCTGACGTGAAGGTCACGTTATCGAAAGGGACCAATAAGGGAGCTGGCTGGATGACTGATGAGAGTAGCGGATTTCGAGAAAGCACTTCACTTCGATCGAGCGCATCGCACTGTCCACCTCGGGCCTTTTTCTCTCGTGCAGAATAAGCAGCAATAGAAGCAGTTATCGAAGTCTATAGTCGGTCTCGAAAGCGCGACGTGTACGTGATATCCGCGACCCAGGGCACACAGCTCTGAGGCGTCGTCGCGGTTTTTACAGTGATATCCGTGACCCAGGGCACATAGTTCTGAGGCGTCGTCACGGTTCACGCCGACCCGCACAAACAACGAGAATCCGTCTAACAGACGTGGCGTCCGCGACTCAGGGCACACATAGCCCCTAGGCGTCGTCGCGGCAAAAAACATATATCGATTATAATTTAAAAATCACAGTGTATAGTGACATAAGGTTTAATAAACGTTTTAAACATATATACGAAACTACAGTGGGGAACTTAGTTGCATCCTTTCTGACAAAACAAGACCAGTAACGAGAAACTGGTCCAAACTAAACACAATTAAGATGAACTATCCAAACGGTTACAGGATTTACATAGATCGTTCGTAGACTGTCCATTAGAGGATAGTAAAACCAAAGATCCAGAAGGGTTAAAAGTCAAATTAATGCCTCACCAACAGTATGCTTTAACGTGGCTTTTATGGCAGGAACAACAAAAGCTACCCGGTGGCATTTTAGATAAACATTTAAAAAATATATAATAGTATGTTAATATATTAATATTTTAAGTATTATATTTATTAATTTTGTTTTATTAAAAATGAATTTTCTTACAGCCGACGATACGAGTTTAGGCAAAATGCTAAGCATGATTGTTTTGATTGTTTATACCAAAACGAATATTGATGTTCATAATGAAATGAATAACGAACAGATTCGGAAAAAGAAACCCATGAAATGTAAATTTTATAAAAGAATTTTATGAAATCTATATGTATAGAACTACTTCAATAAATTTATTGAAATAATTATTTTAACAGATCCTGAGGGTAAAACATTAATCGTATGTCAAACATGGTCATTATCGCACTGGAAAGATAAAGTTCTTAACAAATGCATATCCAATTTGTTATCTGTAGAAACGTATCGCAGCAGCCTACAAGAAAGTGCAAAAAATTTAGCTACATTTGACGTTGTTATAACATCAAATATAACATTGATTTCTGAGTATAAAAATAATTGTATGCTATATAAGGTATATTAAAGCTTACAAATAAGTAGAATTTTAATTTCATTAATATTTCTAATAAAAATATATAATATATGTAGTACTTAAGTTGTTAAATTAATTGAAATTTCTTTGCAGATCAAGTGGAAACGAATAATCATTGATGATTCTATGGCCATAATTAAAAGCCGCAACAATCAAATGGCTGAAGCAGTCTGTGCACTAGTGGCAAACAAACGATGGGCTCTTACTAACAAACCTGTTGAAACTGAACGAGATGTATACTCGATTTTGAAATTTTTAAATTGCTCGCCATTAGATAATCGAAATGTTTGGGAAGAATGGATAAAATGCAAGGACAGTGCGTACGATAACAAAAAATTGGAGTTCATTGTAATGACCATAACTTTAAGAAGGACAATACAAAGCTTGATGGCGAAAGGCGATATAGATTTACCGTACAACTTTTATTTGTAACATTTGTTGCTACAACGCATTCTTTTAGGGATATTATCTTATAACGTACTTCAAATACTCCATTCTGTGTATATCACAATTATAAGGAGTTTAATAAAAACTTATGAATAATATGTTTTAGCTGGTACTCAATCAAAAAAATATTGAAACGTTCGTTGATAAAGAAGAAGAGCGCATGCACCTCCTCGAGACAAATATAGATGAAACAAGACGTAAATTGGAAGGAGCTGATACTGTCTTGACATTACCATCTTGTAGTATTTATTCTGCTAGATCTCCACGTCCCAAGCAGCACAAAAAGTATTAAAAAATGTTTTTAAAATTATTTAAGAGATCGGACGTTCAACTTGCAATTTTCTCAGGAACCAAGGCTTATTTCACATCAAGAATATATTTTTTCTTTGTATTAGAAATCATTTCTGAGAGGGGCCGCGGCATTAATAAGATTAAAATTTTGCCAATTGGTTTTAATCGGAAGTTTTAAGCAGGAAAATGTTTAAGAAAACGTTTTTTTAATGTCAAACAAGAATATATGTCGTAATTTATTAAATCTCTGTAATAACTTGGAAGAAAGATTGGCTCAAAAAATAACAATACACTGCAATATTATGCATTTGCCAAATGTTGAGCAAAACATAAGCGGTGTGGAAATATTCTTTCCTGATCT